ACAACCGCACCAGCTTCTTCGAGGCCCACTCCATGGCCACGAACGGTGTCGGGGTGCCGGCGTTGAGCTCGTCCTCGGGTCCGACGAAGATCTGATAGCCTCCTTGGGAACTTCCGTCAGGTCGGCTGGCCCAGCTAGCATCTGAGTAGCCTCCAACGCGTAACTCCTTCCACGGCCTGTCGAAACCGAAGTGCAATCCCACGTCCGCGTTGGCCTTCAGGAACCGTAAATCTTTGTTCGCGTCCAGCAAGTCCTGCACCGTCGCATGTCCAGTCGCTGCGGCTCTGACCGATACGGTCGCCGCCGCGATGATAACCCCCTGGGCTGCCGGCCACTGCAGCTGGCCGTTCAGGGTCCTGAAATTGGTGAGCTCCTTCGGCGACAGCGCACTGGTGGGATCTGCCCGCCGGTGCTTCTCCACGGTGATGGGCTTCACCGCGTGCAGGTACTTCTCGAACTTGATGGTGACCGCGTGGGTGCTCAGGGACTGCTCCACCTCGCCGCCGGTGAAGACTAGGCTTGGCCCGAACTCCCACTTGCCGAACTTGAACTTCTCGTTGAGCATGCCCAGCCGCGCCTGGAAGCACTCGGTGTCGTCCAGCTTGGCGTGCAGGTCATCCTCGCAACTCACGTTCTCGCCGCATCCGATGAAGTCGTCCACGTGCTTGCCGATCAGCCCGTCCACCACGAACGTCTGGCCGTCGAAACTACGCAGGTCGAACGGGTCGTCCGAGGGTCGCGCGGCCCGCAAAGACAGCAGCAAGCAATCCTCGAGCCAGTGGTTCCTGAACCCGATCTCCCTCGTGACTGCGCCGGAGCGGTAGCGCCAGAGCTTGGGCGACCGCGGGTCCCCAAAGCAAGGCTTGATCATCTTGAGCAACTGTCCTGGCTGCAGGCCGATCTGGTGTACAAGCATGTCCCTCATCTCCTTCGTCGGGCCCGCGTGCAGCTTGATGCCGCCTTCACTGACGTCCTCGGCCTGCAGGAATGCGGACTTCACATCCGCAGCGAACAGCCTCCACATCCTCAAGGCGGCCCACAGCATGACCGTGTGTCGGCCGAGCCTGCTCAAAGTGGGCGCCTCCTTGTCAAGCTGGCCCTCGGCCACGTCGCGGTGCTTGAAACCTTGGTAGAGCACTCGCGCGTTGGCCACTCGCTGCCCGTCCTTCACCTTCCATTTCAGCAGGAAGCGTAACGGGCAACGCGCCGCTGGGTCCACCTCCGCCTCGTCGATGGGTTCCCAGCCGTCGTTCTCGTAGAACACCTCGAGGGCCTCCAGCTTGGCTGCGTAGAACTGCTCCCGCTCCTCGTGTGTGAGCCTCCCCTCCGCAATGGTGGGGACTTTCTTCTTGAAAGCCAGCATGTAGATTGTCTCGGTGGATTCCTCCAACAACATCATCTCGTCGTCCACCTCCTCGATGAGACACGACTCCTCCTGCTGCGGTGCGAGCCTGGCCCACGACGTGCGGGCGCGCTTTGCCAGGGGGATGCCGTCCAGCCGCCGCGTGTGCCGCCGGGCGAAAGAAATGATGACGTTTTCAGGTGCAAAAGATGCAATCGGAATTTGGGCAGACCACAGGGCTGTCATTTTGTGTTTGAGAATACACTCGGAGAAGGAAGGGGGCCGTCACAACGCACGGGCGGCAAGACCTAGGGGGCAGAAGCGTGATCCTCAAGACGATTATGCCTCGCGCGTCGAGTCTGCCAAACGATCAAATACAAAAATGCAATCAGAGGAGCGGGGGCGACCACCCGCAGCGGCAGCGTGTGAGGAGTTGGAAGAATGTTTGAAACCATCTGTGATATAAGAAGGGGGCACAGCAGAAAAACCGAAGCAAGACCAGACAAAGCTACCGCCGAACATACGCGCATTGATGGCTGAAAGACGAGCTGCGCATAGATAGGAAGGAGAACACAGACCAATGAAAGTAATTTGTACAGAATTTCAACGTGCATTTCTGGACTTTGAGCGCCAGCGAAAGACGGAGCAAATCGATAAGATCTTGAGTGAGTTCAAGAACATAGGGCGCATCAGAGACATTCACTGCAACTTCAGGAGAATGCGGCTCACAAGCGTGGTAGATAAAGATGGTAACGTTCGGTCAGATAGACAGGGGATCGTCGACGTCTTCGCTGATTTCTACGAGGACTTGTATAGAGCTCGAGAGGGGCCGGCGGCGGGCAGCGACGCGGACAGAAGCAGGGACGACACGTTTGTTATACCGTCAGTTACAGCAGCAGAAATTGGCGACCATGTTAGAAAGTTGAAGAAAGGGAAGGCAGCGGACTCGAAAGGGATCGTCGCCGAAATGTTCAAAGTTGGTGGGGAGTATTTACAACAAGTGCTAGCCGACGTCTTTGCGAGAATTCTGGTCCACGGGGGCGAGCCGCCAGAGTCGTGGAGGCACAACTGCGTGAAGGTGCTGTTCAAAAAGGGAGACCCGAAGCTCCCTGGGAACTATCGCCCCATCACAATTTTACCGATTATGTACAAGTTGTTCGCCATGGTTCTCAACCGACGGCTAGAGGCATTCCTGGGGTGACAGCAGTCCACAGACCAAGCAGGGTTCCGGAAGGGATGCAGCTGCGAAGACCATCTGATGACGTTGACAATCATTTACGAAAAGGCAAAAGAGTTTAACATCGACGTCTGGGTTGCTGCAGTGGATTTTGGGAAGGCGTTTGATTCCGTTAATCATACTGCAATTTGGAATGCTCTGCGCGAGCAAGGAGTCCCGGAACCCTACGTGCAGGTGTTGCAGCGCTTGTACACGAGACAGACAGGGCAGGTTGTCTCCGACTGCCAAAGCCGCACTTTTGTCCTCGGAAGAGGGACCAAGCAAGGAGACCCTATGTCGTCAACTATATTCAACGCAGTGCTTGAGTCTCTGATGCGCAAAGTAAAGGAAAAGTGGGGGGCAGCCAGACTTGGGTTCAAAATGCAGCCGTGGACGTTCACCAATCTGCGTTTTGCGGATGACATACTTCTACTCGGGTCCACCCGGGCGCAAGTGCGAAGAATGCTCGAAGATTTGAACGATGCGGCAGCTGCGGTTGGTCTGAAAATACACGCTGGGAAAACCAAGATCATGTCAAACATGCAGAACCGAAAGGGCGTGTTGCGCCAACGTCATGTGCGGGTGGGCGAAGCACAGGTCGAGGTGCTCCCTGTCGAAGACAGCACGGCGTACCTTGGCAGACAGCTGACCCTTGGAGACTACCACGACGTGGAGATCCGGAACCGCATTGCGAAAGGCTGGGCGGCGGCGTTTGGACGGTTCAAGGGCGAGCTGTGCAACAAGCACTACCTGTTGAAATCCAGATTCAGATTATTCGACGCTGTCGTGTCCTCTACAGTGCTCTACGGCAGCGGTACTTGGACGCTCACCGTGGCAAGATCACACAAGCTCAATGTTGCCATGCGTAAAATGCTCAGGAAGATCGTTGGCGCAGGCAGGGCGCCAGACGAGTCTTACGTTGACTAGATCAAACGAGCAACGCATCACGCCGAGCAGGAGTACGAGAGATTTGGCTTCCAACGTGGCTGCAGGCGCAGGACGTGCGCAAGAGCAAACTCTTCCAAAAACTGTAGGAGTGCACAGACCGGCGCTGGGGGAGCCTTGCACTGAAGTGGGGCCCCCTGGGCAGAAGGTCCACAGGGCGCCCAGCGAAACGATGGGCCGACTAAATGTTTATTGTCTCTGTCACATGTTCTGCCACATCTCTGTCACTTTTTTCTGTTATATATCTCTGTGCAGTGTCTGTGTCGTCATCATCTACAGTGCAGTATTTTGTGCGAGAGCTGTTAAGAATAATGGGTCTGTCAAGAACAACGGGTCGTTATTATCTATAGTGCAGCATTTTGTGTGAAAATATTCAAGAATGGGCGGCGGCAGCAGAGGGGTGTGTTACTGCGCGCGCAGCAGCCCGCGCAGGGCGCGCTCCGGCGCACGCTGCGACCCTGACCTTGACCTTGGATGCCGTCCAGCTTCTCGGCCTCCTCGATGCTCCTCTTGGCCATCGCCTCGATGTGGACTCGACTCGGCTCCCTCGCAGCGTTGCCACGCTCTCGCGCAGCGCTGGCCCCCGCAGGTGCGGGGTCTGGAGCCGCCTCCTCGCCAGCCTCAGCTGGCTGGTGGGCCTCGGGAGCTGCCGCGGCAGCCGCTCCACTCGGCTCCTCTCGTTGTCCAACAGGATCTCCATCGCGGTGTCCCTGGGCGCTGGGCTGCTGCGCGCCCGTGTCGTCCAGGGTGTCGTCGTGCTGGGGCCGCTGGCCCCCCTCGGCGAGGTCACTGAAGCTGCAGGTACCCTTGGTCCGCCTGAGCGCCCTCCTCAGCTTCTCGATGGTGCTGAGTGGGCTGTCGGGATCCTCGCGTCGTCCTTCTCGCTCTCGGGTCTCACTGGACAGCTCGGGGCGGCGCTGCTCCACCGTGCAGTGGTGGATCGTGCACCCGTGCGTGACCCACACCACGGACGTGTGCATCACGTCGTCCTCGTTGACCTTCGACTCCACCGCCACCGCCAGCGCCGGGCCATGCCAGTGGCACTTCTCCAGGCCCGTCGACATCTCGGGTCGCCAGAAGTAGACCCACTCGCCGATCTGGTACTCGCGGCGTGTCGGCCTGCTGCGCGCCAACAGCGCAGCTCGCACGGCACGAGAGCAGTTGGCCTCGATGAAAGCCGTCCCCGCCGCAGCGCGCCTGACCATCATCTCGTGCACCTCGCTCTTGGGATCGAGCAGCGCGGCCTGCTCCGCCAGGCCGAAGTCCTCGTCGCACAGCGCGCCAGGCACCTTGGGCTGTGTGCCCAGCACCAGCGTCGCGGGCGCATATCCGTGCACGTTGCGAAAGATGTTCCGCTGGCTGGCGGTCATCCTGAGCGCGGTCTTGAGCGAGTCGTCGGGGAACTGCAGGTGGTACTTGCTGAGCTGCTCCCTCCTGACCGCATGGTTGCGCTCCATGAGTCCGAGTTTGTGGTGCGCGCCCTTCGGGGTCAGGTCGAGTGTGATGTTGTGCTTGCTCGTCCACTGGTGCGTCTTCCTTGACGTGTGCGAGCCTGCCATGTCCATCCTCATGGTGTCGGGCTTGCCAGCCCAGCTGATCCACAATTTCTGAAACAGCTTCACCTCCTTCTTGAAAGTCTCCTTCGCGATCGGGTAATCCACCTCGTAGCGCGTGAACTCATCCATCATCGCCGAGATCTTTCGCTCCTTGTTCTTCCAGGTGACGTAGTAGACGTCGGTGTTCACGACCTCGTTGAACCGTTGAGCCTTCGGCAGTGCAGCTACGCGCGCTGCTCCAGGTCGTTGCCTGCTCAGGCAGACTTCACGCTGGAAGAGCTTGGCGCACTGAAGCCACTTGGCCGGGGCCTTCGCGTGCTGCATGGCGGTCGCCAGCGCCGCGTTGGAAGGGTGGCCCAGGCTGATGTGAGCGCGCTTGGCCGCCCTGATCGTCGACGCGTTGAAACGCTTCATCAGCTCCTGCATCACGTCGGTGTACTCGATGGCGTCGATGTCCTTGGAGACCTCCTCGGCGGTGCTGATATCCTCAATGTCGTCGGCCATGCCCTGATAGGCGATCAAGTAGGCCATCCTTCGCGCCATCGGTCTCGGGTAGTTCTGAGCCTGCTGGGCAAGCTTGCCGCGTAAGACCACGTGCTCCTCGGTGCAGCTGCATTTCATGTTCATGTGGTGAACAAACTCCTTGTTCGTGGACTAGAGTCGCGTGGGCTTCTGGCACGGCGTGAACTTACCCTTGATCTCGAACTTCGCGCCCAGCCTGCACTGGTCGAGCCGGCAGTGGTATCCAGGTAGCTTCTGCCAGGTCTTGGTCTGCCAGTGTAGCCCTTGCCACGGGCCTTCTACATGCGCATGACGTCCACCGTTCTGCTGCTTCACAAACTAATCCCGAACCATCTTGGGGAACGTCTTTTCTTCTCTCTGTCTGGTGAGGTTGATCTCCTTCGCGTGTTCCTCCGACAGCTTCTCGTTGACATGCTGCCAAGAACACCAGATCCTACATGGGGGTGCAAAGAAGATGTCATCGGGCTTCTCCTCATCGATCTTACTCTAGAAGCTGCGAATCACGCTGGGCTTGGAAAAGTCCCAGCCGTCGGCCAGCCTGAACTGGATCACCTTGACCTGCGGGAACTCCAGCAGCTCCTCCGACAAAGCCCCTTGGTCCACGAAGACCTCCAAGACCACGCGTTCGCGGGGTCCTCTGAGCGTATCCTTCATGTCGGTCTCCGCTTGCTCCAGGGCCAAGATCAGGTCTGAGTAGGTGTCCGCGTCCATGTCTGAGAACCCCTCGGTTGTCAGCGCCTCGTCGTCGCTACCGATGTCGTAGAACTCCGGGGCGGTCTCGAGGTAGTAGGCATCGGCGTCGGGCACCGACGAGTCGCTGCCGTCGTCAGTCTCTCCCTTCACCGAGCTCCCCTCCGAGTCCTTGTCCGTCGAGTCGTCGCTGCTCTCCTCGCCGTCCGTGGGAGCGCCCTCGTTCATGGCGTCGTCTGCTTCCTTCCCGGCGCTGCCCAACAAATCGATGATGAAGTGGCCTTTCTCATCTCGCTCGGACTTCATCCAACCTTTGTCGGGAAGGTCCTTCATCATGAACGTGCCTGCTCGATAGTCCTGAATGAGACCCCACTCCTCCATGCAGGGCCTGGCGATGAGCAGCGGCGTCCACCCCTCGACGAGGTGGATGGTGACTTGCTTCTTGATTCCGAACGGCCATACCGACAACGTCACTGCCTTCTTTGCCTCGAGGGTCTTACCGTCTCCGAACCTGAACCGTCGATCACTCTTCTCATACTTGACCTCGTGCAGCAACTGCTTCACGCGCAGCAGCTCCTCCCACTGCGCCCAGACCTTGCCGCCCATGACGGGCCGCGTAGCGCCTCCGTCGCTGATGCCCTTGCCGACTGTCCGCAGGAACACCTCCTCGGTCGAGTTCGCGCACTCCAACGTCTCGACGTCCTCGACCATGTTGCCTGACTCGGTCTCCGGCCTGGTGAACCCGCCGTGGCGGAACCTCCTGAACCTCGGGCCGTGCTGCTGTGTCGAGCCTGTCCCGGTCGATCCCGCACTCGATGCAGGCGGCGAGCGGGCGAACGGGGCCTTCGGGAACTTGAACGCTGATGGATCTCGTCGTGGCTGATGAGATCCCTTGCCTTTGCCTTTACCTTTGCCGCGTCCACGTCCCTTGCCTTTGCCTGGGGCTCGGGCCGGTCGTGCTTCACGGTAGTTGTTGTCGGGCGCCACGGCGACGATCGGGTAGAAGCCTCTGGACTTCGCGATCTCAGCCACGCGCTTCTTTGCATCCACAAAACTCAGGTTGGCCTCGTCGCACGCGAGCTGAGCGTCCTCAACATCCTGCGGCAGCTCCTCCGCGATCTCGGCCTCCTCGTCTACATCTTCGTACTCGTACTCATCTTCGTCGTCATACTCTTCCTCCTCCAGGTACGTGTCTTTGTAGCTCAGGCCTCTCTCCCACTCGTAATCGTTCGTGTAGTGAGCGTCGTCCTTGGTATTCTGCCCGAGCAGCATCTTCTCCACTCGTTTGATGTCGCGCTTGTCGGGCAGACCCTCGGCTCCGTACGTGTCGAGCAAAGCCTTCTTCACCTTCTGCCAGCTGAGGCCGTCTACGCATTGACTTCGAACCTGGGCGGCGCCTGACGGTGGGATCGCCGCTCTCGTGAGGAGGTGCCAGCCCGCTAGCATATCAGGAATCTCCATGCCCACTTCCTTCAGCTTCCTGATGTCGCGCTGATGGCGTAGGCAGTACAACTTCATGGACTCCTTCTCCTGGCGGGCGAACGTGCCGAAGAACTGATCCGTCCGGGCTGGCAGCTCAGTCTGGTTGTCGTACTTGTAGTACTCATCCAGGACCTTGAACAGCGGCCTGAAGGCCTCGTCTGTCTCTAGCAGGTCCAGGTCGATCTCCGTAGCCTCGGCCGCCTCTCCTTGCAGCGAGTTCATGACCAGAAACGCTCCCTCGCTGATGGCGGTCGTGCCGCGCTTGCGGCAGCACCTCTCGAAGACCTCTAGCTTTCGTCTGAAAACTCGGTAGCCGTCGGTCTTCAGCAGCTCGTAGCTTGGCGCCGTCTTGGACAGGCCAGCGTCGAGTCCTCTTCCCCCGTCCCAGGTTGAACTCTCCTGGCGCCACCAACCTCCGCCCGTCCAGCCAGCCCACTCCTCGGCGTAGGCTGCCTCGTCGCCCTCGCTGCCGGGGACCCGGGTGGTCGCGGCAGCGGGGTCCACGCCGCTGGCACCCGAAGCGGCCGCGGCGGCAGGGGGCGGGGTGCCCTGGCGGCGGTCCTGGCGGCTTCGCCGGTCCGCGGGGCGGCGTCGCGCCAGCGGGCATGGCGGCGGCAACGGGGTGCCGGAGATGGGTGTGGATCTCCGGCTCCGCTACCAATCTCAACCGATGGCAGCACACTAAGTCTGTCTCGGGATGTACGTGATCTGATTATCTCGATAATCTGGGAAAGAATGCGCAACCTTTTCCTGTGACTCAGGGGCCCCTGAACATCAAACGGCAGCGGTCCAACCATAATCAAACACTGTGCTAATAATCAATGCAAACGAACACAGCATACACACATACAACTCAATGAAACGTGGGTGATATTGACACGGAGGCCCATCGGAAGCAGACAGGCGAGACGGTCGCGCACGTCCACAGACTGACATACTTTTGAGGGACTTGGGCCTCTCTTGTGGGAGGTTCCGTGGCTACTTGCGGCCGTCTTGGGCCGCTCTTGGGGACTCTTAGAGGAACCCTGGAGGCCACCTCGAGCCATCTCGAGCCAGCTCGAGCCAGCCTCACTCACTCACTCAGGGCGGATGATGTCGATGATGTGCCAGCCTGGAGTTCATCTCTGGCCATCTGGGCCATCTTGGAACCTTCTTGGGCAAGGAGGGGCTGTTGGGCACCTCGGGCCCGCCCCCGCAGCCATGCCCAGGGAGAGGGGCTCGGGGGGAGCGCCCGAATTTCCAGCGGGAGCGCCTCAGGCCGTCTCGCGCGCTCGCGCCCGCCCTCCTTGGTCAGGCGCGTGGCACTTTACCTTGCACTCTCGGGGGACCTTCTCTAGGCCTCCTAGATGTGGTCGGAGTAGATGGGGTCGGAGGATCGTGCCGCATCGCCGATGCATCGCCGATGCGGCTCGATGTGGAGCCCGATTTGCTTCACGTCGACGTCGCCGATGCATCGCCGACGTCGACGATGCGTCGCGGGTGCATCGCCGATGCATCGCCGATGCATCACCGATGCATCGCCGATGCATCGACGATGTATCGGCGATGCGGCCCGATCCTCCGACCCCATCTACTCCGACCCCATCTAGGTGGCCTCTACCTTCGCGGTCGTGCAAATTGCAGTCTTCTCCATGTGCTCCGAGCTGGGTTCGACGCTGAGTCGACGCGATTTCAGCGTGGCTTCGGCACGGATTCGGCACGAGTTCGACGCGCTCGACGCGGATTCGACGCGGATTCGACGCGGATCGTGGCGCGACAGATAAGAGAAGGTCCCCCGAAGATGTAACACAGAGAACTCGAGGCTCAGTCTGGGCAGAGGGCGCCATCGTATGGGCAGCCGCTGGAAACCAATACGGACGCCAGGTGTGCGACATTCGTGAGGGGCGCCACGAGTGAAAAGTGCGCTGCGCTTGCCAGATTCGCCAGGTGCTCCATGGGCCTACGGGGTCCCAGGCGTGTTAGATGCGTCACGTCCTCTACGTGTGTCAAGTGCGTCACCTGCTCCAGCCGCGCCCTTTGCGCGACGCGCACAGAATATACTGGGTGCGCCAGTGTACGTGGCAGCATACATCGGGCACCATGTCGGCTGACCATCCGTGACAAAAAGCAACTTCAAGGTGGCGGTGGGGGTCAGTATGGTGTATGGTGTGTGTGTGTGTGTGTGTGTGTGTGTGTGTGTGCGTGCGTGTGTGTGTATGTGTGTGTGTGTGTGTGTGTGTGTGTGTGTGTGTGTGTGTGCGCGCACCCTCAATGAATTTACATCGATTTTGACAGGGACGGTGGGACGGCGTACAGCGGTCAAAGATGGCAGCATCCCACCATCCCTGAACAACAACGCAACTGTAACGTGCTCGTGGGGGC